ATGATAAGGATTGAGATTAGGGAAGAACTACAAATAACAATTGCTAGGTTCTAAAGTGGCCTTAATTAGGGGTAGAGTAGAACAAAGAACAATATTCCGAGTGTCCTAATAAAAGGATAGAGAAAAAGAAAAAGAAAAAAATAAAAACAAAGAACTTTCCAAGGGGATTACAATTAGAGACTATGTTTTCGATGTCTTGGTACAAGACACTATTCTGAGTATCCTAATAAAAAAAAAAACAATGTTTTTAACAGACCAGAAAATCATAAACCAAGATGAAGCTCACTCTTCACCATCCTAGACTCCGAGGAAGAAATTCTACCTTATGAAGGAGAATATTAATAGTGATAAGGCTTCTTGGAAACCAATCATCTAAACTAGAATAATCAGAACAAGAGAACCTATTCACCACGTGGGAAGTTTTGAAAAACACTTGTTTTTCTATTGTGGATGGTGACTCTTATTATAATTGTTGTAGTTCTATATTGGTAGACAAGCTAGCCTCATGGAGGACCATAGATTAGAACATACATAGGACCCCTTACTAGGGCCATGGCGAGGAGGAAGCTTCCCCAAGAGCCCTCCTCCTTTAGAGTCTTTCATATTAAAATCCTCTTCTACCTTTAGTCTTGTATAAAATTATAAAGACCTTCATTTTCTTTTTTGTAGGACACACTTGATCAAAGAGTTTCAAGGAGAGCTGCAGCTACAAGGCAACAATCCAGCACTTAGGGACGCTCACATGGAGAGAACCACGACCACTCCTTCACTTACTCCACTTGGTTGCACATTATGGAGACTACCTTATATATAAACACTTGGAACACTTATCCCAAGCTATATGGGACTTGGAGGGAGCGAAACATCAAAAGAAAGGAGCAAGGATTAACACTTGACTGGAACAAAAGGAGTTGCACCTTTTCCCCTCATATTCTCGGCCAAAGAGTTAGCTACAAGCTAGAAGGTCCAATTCAATTCTTGGTTGTCACTATTGAGAGCAAAAACATATATAAACTCTTGAATTATCTAAAAAGAAAGAGATGTGAGACTCGAACCCTTTGTAGATGAGAACTTCGGCCAACACTTTTATAATGCCAAATTAGTCTCACATCCTCTAGGAGATTGAGTGAATGAGAGAGAACAACAATATATGACACCTTGTGTAGCTTTTTTAACATATTTGAATGAAATCAGGTTTAGTGTGTGGAACTTGCATTTATTGTTTGTTTATCTTCAAGTCTCTCTGGGAGTTCTTTCTTCTACTCTCCTAAATAAGGAACCTTCCTTGGAGGAGTTAGTGTTGAGTTTCTTGAGAAACTTGGGAAAGAATTTTGACAACACTTTGGGTGTTCTTGGTGTAGGGTGGTCCGAACTCTACTTGGTGGAAAGAGGAAGAAATTTTCCATCATAGCCTTAACTATTACACCCCATCCTCCACCGTACAGACTTTTATGACTCAACAATGATGGTGGTATAACAGTTAATAAGTAAGTATACCCATTTTCTTAGACAATTACAAAGATAAAGTTTTATGTGATGTAATTCCTATGGAAGCTAGGCATATCTTACATGGAAGACCATGACAATTTGATAAGCAAACTATCTATGATGGTCTCACCAATAAAATAGGTTTTTTTACAAAGAATAAAAACAAAATACTTGTGTCCTCTCACACCTCCACAAGTGAGAGAGGACCAAATAAAAATAAAAAATAAAATTGGAGAGAAAAGAGAAAGGAAAAAGAAGCCCAAGTTAAAACAATAAAAGGTGAAAAGGAAGAGGGTATGGAGGTTTGTGTTCCCTTAAACCTTCAAATAAATTGTTCAACAAAAATCTTTAAATTTCCTCTATGTTTGAATAACTTAGTTTCCTTCTTTATTATTGTAAAAAGACAGTTGTTGCTACAAGTCATGAACTTGATTCTTTATCACATGGAATTCAAAAGATTCTTTTAAGAGATTAATGATATATTTCCCAAAGAAGTATCTCTTGGGACTCCATCTTTGAAGAAAATAGAACATCAAATAGATTTATTTCCTAGAGCAAGCCTACACAATAGCCTCGCTTATGGGAATAAAGTGCAAGAGATAAAAAATCAGATAAGTGGCTTGCTAAAGAAGGATTGACATCAGAAGAGTCTCAGTCTTTGTGTTGTTAGGTTAAATTTCCCACCTCTATAAGATTTAAAATTGGACCTCAATTGGGCCTCTTATTGGACCTTAAGTTTGGTCATCTCCATAGACAACCAAGCTACAAATGCAGCTAAATCATGGAAGAAAAGAGAATGAAGTCACATCTTCTAAAATTTATTCAAATAGCTCCAAATTTTGATTTCACGTTCCATATATACAAATTGAAGTCCTAAAAATGAAGAATCCAATAGAACAAAAATAAGCCAAAAGGGATATTGCTATCGTGTAGTGGAATGTTCACGTTAAGACAAAAACTAAGAGGGGGGTTGAATTGGTTTCTCATAAGAATTGTCTCTTTAAAGATAATTCGCAAGATTTTACCGATTAAAAGGTATTGATTCTTTCTTTTAATATAATAAAGCACTTGAAAAGTAAAGAGGTAAAAGAAAAGAGATCACACAAGTATTTTATACTCGTTCAGATCAAAAGACCCTACTTCTAATTGTTAATCACTTTAAAAGAGGATTATCTCAATCACTAAAATAATGATTCAATCAAATAAACAAATTACAAATAGAAAGGATTAGAAAACACCTCTCTTGAGCACACAAGAGATGAACACCTCCTTTGAACCCACAAAGGATGAAGGAAGCTTTCCTAGAGACAGCACAACACTCAATCCACTGAGAATCCCACTCGATAATTCTTATCGCCTTTTGCCCACACTAGGTTTTCAAAGCCTCTTTTTGCTTACTACTCAAAGTTCTCTCAACAAACACAGCTCTTAACTTTCTGAGTATCAAAAAGGTTGTCTCTTCTTTTTAGAGAGCATGAGAGTTCCTTTAAATAGAGTTTTCAAAAATTAGATTAAAATTCAAATTTCAAATTCATAACTACCTTAGATAATCGATTATCCTTAAAGATAATTGATTATCACAGAAGCTTTTATCAGAAAACCAAAGTTGTCCAAGATAATCGATTATCCTAAGTGATAATCAATTATTCTAGAAACAATTTCAGAAATCCAAGAGTTACCAGGATAATCGATTATCCTGAGTGATAATCGATTATCACAGTGCGGTTTTGATAAAAAGATTAAACTTTTGTGGACAAACTAAATGTTGTCTATTTTGGACTCTAATTTTACAAACTCAAGTTGACTAAACAGAGTTATTACAAACGATTACAAATGTGTATGAGTCTTCTAATCTTGAAGTCTTTTGTTCTTGTATCATCATCAAAATCTTTAGATATCATATCCTTGCATTTTCAACAAGGGATATCTGCAAAAAAATGCTATGGTCAAAAGTGTTGACAGAAGTCAAATCAAAATACGAAATTAGAGTAACCAACTCCCACACTCACTAGAATAGACTCATTTTAGCCTAAAATGTGCACTACATACAAGGAGGAGTTCGACCATGTGTATTTTCAAGTCCCACATTGCTTGGTTCATAAAGTGCAATGGGGAAACTCAACAATAAATAGAGCCCTACCGTTTTTTTGACACTTTGAAATGAGAACGAGAATAGAACTTGCTTTTTACTTGTCTTTTTGTTCTTTTAAAGTCTAAATGGGTGCAATCTTCTTCTAGTTCTCCATCAAGGATCCTTCCTTGGAGAGAGAACTTCAACAAGTTCTTTAAGAACTTGGGAGTTTTAAAGTTTTCAATCACTCTTGGGTTGAAGGGAAGAAAATTTCCATTAGCTTTCCTTTTGTAAACTCCCTCTTGTCTTCCTCCTTACCAAATATCCCACCAATATTCATTAGTAATTTTTGAAGAAATTATTCCAAGCTTTGTGGCACTCAATTGCTCACGAGTACCTCCTACCATCCAAAGACCAACAGTCAAACTAAGGTTATGAATAGTATCTTGGAACAATATTTACCTAATTTTGTGCATGAGTAATCTTCAGGGGTATAAATTTCTATCTTTGGTAGAATGGTCTTACAACACCCTAGTTCATTCAGCCACTAGATTGACCCTTATGAGGTCACCTATGGTCAACCTCCCCCTTCTCTTCCCCAACATTTACTTGGTTCATCTCCTATGGAAGATGTTGATGCATTGTTGTCAGCTCGCAAAGCTATCCATGCTTTACTTATTCACAAGCTCACTAAAGCCCAAGCTAATGTGAAGCGCATAGCATATTCCAAGCGATGTGAGGTCCTATTCTCTTCTAGAGATTGAGTTTATGTCAAATCGAGGCCCCACCATCAACACTCCACTTCTAACCATTTGCACAAGTTTTCCAAACGTTTCTATGATCCCTTTCAAGTTCTTGAGCTCATTAGTGTTGTCGCATATAAATTATAGCTCCCCACCAATTCTCAAATCCACTCTTTTTTCCATTGCTCTTCGTTATTGAAGCTTCATCAAGGTCCTCTACTTGGTATTCATGCTTCGCTACCACCATCTGCCATTGATAACCAACTTATTGTGGAACCTCTCTCCATTTTGGACTCCAAAAATGGGACTTGACCGTAGACCCCCATTTGTGTAGTCTTGGTTCAATGGTTGGGCTTGTCCCTTGAGGACACCAGTTGGGAGCCTCAACCTGAACTTTCTTTTATATATCAGTTTGAAGATCAAGTTGTTTTTCCAAGGGAGGATATTGATAGCAACAAGTCACTAGCCCAAACATCTATGCCCATTCTGATATTCTGAGTCTATTGGGATTTATTACACCAAGTGCTTGACTCAAGTTTGTTACTATTTGACTTTTTCCTTTCATATATTCTCTGTCCTTTTTGCCTATACCTACAATTGCGGATGCATTCTCTTATTTACTATGTTAGGAAAGGAATGAAAAATCAGAATCATTCCACACAAATTAGTTTTGTTGTATAGTTGTAGCTTTCTTTGTTCTATCGGTCACTGTATAAGTAGAATATAGATTCACTCCTCCAAAGACAATTATGTTTTGGACCAGTACAGCAAAAAGGCTTACCAGCTAAACTTTTGCTTGTCCTGAAATTTGCATAATCAGCTAGTTTGTGAGCTACATCTTGCACTGAAGACACAACCTGTTTTGCATTTGTAACCAAATCCGTGACGCCTCTCCAGTCTTCTTTCTCAATTACACTCATCCTGAAGAAAATATCAAATCCTTGATCAAACATTTTGTTGTTTAACTCCCTAATACATGTTAAGCTTTTGAAGCCATAGATTTTAGATATTGAAGCTCAAAAGTGTGTGTCGAAATTTTGTTAGAATAATTAATCACCATACACACGTTACACCTTCATATCTCACTTAGTATTATCAACTTTGAAAACAACGAGTTTCCCATCTCTTTTATTAAAAAAATTTACAAATACAAGGAAAAATATATGATAGCAAAGCTGCAGTTGCTTGCTTTCCAGCATGTCCTATCAATGGACAAGAGGAGGGAGGGGCTGCTTACTTCAAGATTAAAAATTAAATGTCACTCACCAATCGGTTTGAACAATTTCATTTCTGAACCTTGTTAGGGAAGCTACACTCAATCTAGGTATAATATCATCCTGTACATTTCCAACAACCAATGTCATAAAGAAACACATTAGAAAAATACAGACAAATCTTGGGAAAAGAAAATTATTCATCTGAGGAAAACTACAGATGTAATTAATTTCTTCAAGATCAAATATTATTAAACACATAGTCAAATGTTATAACATACCTGCATCACAACTGTCGATACATAGCCAGAACAACTTTCAGCAAGTTCTCTGGAGACACATGGTGCAGTACCAAAGCCAACAGCAGATACAATGTCCGGGCTAAAACCCAGCTCCTTTGATGATTTTCTATGGATCATTATTGCCAATAAAGAAGCTATAGCACCACCAAGAGAATGACCAACAAGTCTTAACTTAAATCCCTGTTAAAGAGTTAGTGACATCTCACGAATTGAGTGAGAAAAGCACACAACCAAAGAAATGAAAAGCAAAATACATGAAGTAAGATCATCCCGACCTCATGTTTCTCCAAGCATTTTCTTATGATTTCAACCTCATGGTGGAGAAACCAACGTGCAGATTCAGCACTACCAAAGTGGGTTGAATAGCCTTCAAATGTGACTTCACCATCACTTGAGGAAAGTATATCAGTGATAAGGTCATAAAAAGTATGTGTTCCCCTTATGCCTAAAATTACAAGCTTTTTTCGGGTATCAACCCCTATATAATATGCAGGCCTCATTACACTGGAGTTTTTAACAAATTTTTTTACACTACTTTCTCTTAGCATGCTGTTCCTTGAAAGACTACTAGGACTGTCCTTATAAGCACCTTTAGCCAACTCAATATGATAAATGAGATCTTGCACCTGAAATTCAGTAAGAGATGATAAGAATAAAGCATGGACTGGACCACACTAATTTGTAATGATCTGCTAACATTAATAGTGAAAGATCACAATAATCTATGAACACATAAATATAATATATGCCTTCTGCCTCTAAAATGCAGTTTCAGAAGTTACAATTGATTCTGACAATATCTGAATGCCTTTGATATCTTCAAATGGATGAGTAGAAGCTTGCCGAAGATAGATCAAATACAAGCCAATAGTAAGGTCACTCAAGCTCCAATCATGGATTCCAAGCTTACTCCTTTTGATGCAGGCAATTATTTCTGTAAGGGATCGATTGCTTGGTGGGGGTTTCTTTCCAAATTCATATCCTGCATAACATGGAAAACTAAGTTAGCCTGTTTTATTGTAAACCAAATCAAGACATACAATCAAGTAGTTATGGAGCACATGAAAAACATATGCTAATTATATACATAAATTGTCATATAATGTTATTGAGTCATGGGACGAGCCTCTGAACAACATTAATGCTGTGGTCTGGTGATCTGAAGATCACAGGTTCAAATCTTAGAAGTAGTCTCTCCACTTGCAGGGTTAAGCACATACATAAACCTCCCTAGACCCCACCAAGAGAAGCCTCATGCAGTGTCACCCCTGTATAATGTAACTGAGTCATATATGACTCAACTAAATTTATAAAATATGCTTTTAAAGGAAGGTACTCGCAATTTTCCAGCCATGCAAACTGTCGAACTTTGTCAGATGAAACATGTTATGACAATATGACTTAACACTTAACAGACCTGTTGGCAGAGCTCGCCTACAAAATTGCAGAGCTGGTTCAAGTGTCTTTGTGAGCCAAGCCATCTCTATCTTCCACTTACTATCTGAGGAGTCTTCATCATCAGAAATGTATTTCCTTATACCATAATTTCCATCTGCCTTCCTAACTTCAGATTTGGAAGAAATCTGTTGTGTTTCTTGCTCTTCTTTTAGCTTATCTTCTACCTTGTAAGCTTTTGACCTTCGCAAATGAAACCGGATAAAAACACTATGCATATTGTTCCAATGTGGTTTTTCTCGGTTGAGAAAAATTTTGGTAGAATCTGCACATTCAATTGAAGCATAGATATATGATTATACGAATATTAGGATACAATTTCCTAGCATGAATATTGTATTAACAAAAACAAATGAAACTTAAATACTTGGCAATAAAAACTTGGGACCCATTCCGATAAGACATTTGTTGAAATAGTTCTTCATGAACCATTATAGCATCAACCCATAACCAGAGTGGTAACAACAAATTTACTGGGCATTGGGCATCTTTCAACTATTCTTATGCATAAATGACATAAACTCCACAAGTAAACTGTTAGACTCAATAAGGAGGTCCAGGTGTTAAATGAGAAACTTAAGCCAAACACTTGGTATGTGTACTATAGAAAGAGAGGGAAAGGAGCTATGACAAATGGAATTTGAGTTAGTTCCAATATAGGAGGGATTTCTAAATAATATTGCAACATACTAAAATGGGAAATTATTTATTCTTGTTGGAGGGAGGCCAAGTACTATGCGGAGAGTGATATAGCTCTTGGGATATTTCAATATCCCAATTTCTTTGTTCAATAATATCAAATCATTCTCGTTTTCTTTTGGCTTATCTTGATTTGGAGAAATAACACCAATGAGACATGAGCTCAATTCACAAAAGGGATTGACATCACTCTCAACCCAAAACCTTAAGGCATTGGGTTATGGATTTTACTTCCTTATTCTTACTCAAACTGGGACTTAGACTCACATTTGAATTACCCAACAATCTCCCCCTCAAGTGTAAGTCCCTTCACATTGGTACATCCCCTCGAGCTCACTAGTGGTCCTTCTATGTACCGTCGTTCATCCTAACAGGACATACTTACCTAACCTATATTCAAGACGACTTTTGATACAAGGATCACTCTCAAACTGCCGGTCACCACACAAACCATCGGTTCTAATACCACTATTGGATCTTTCAAGGGGATTCACTAAGGAGAAACAATACTAATGAGATATGAGTCCAACCCACATAAGAGACTGACACCATCTTCAACCAAAAACCTTAAGACATTGGGTATGGTTCTTACTTCCTTATATGTTGCTCAATTTTTTCATTCTTATTCAATGTGGGACTTAGACTCCTACTTGGATTTCCCAACAATCTCCCCCTCAAGTATGAGTCTTTTCACATAATGTACCGCCGTTCATCATAATGGGACACGCTTACCTAACACACTGTTAGGAAGATTTTCGATACAAAGACCACTCTTAAACTATCAGTTAACCATACAAACCATCGGCTCTGATACCACTGTTAGATCTTTCGAGGGGGATTCACCAGGGAGAAATTTCACCAATGAGACATGAACTCAATCCACATAAAAGATTGACATCACTCTCAATACAAAACCTTAAGACATTAGATTATGAGTTTTATTTCCTTATATGTTGCTCAACTTTCTCATTCATACTCAATGTGGGACTTAGACTCACACTTGAATAACCCAACATCTACGAGATACAAACCACATGAATAGAAGAATGAACAAGAGGGTAGACATTCTTGAAACCCAGGTGCAAAATAAGATACTTCCATTGGATCATTCTAAGTGTCACAAGCGGCATTTTTTGAGAAAATGCCTGAAATGAATGCAACATAACAAGCTTTGCTTAGGGAAATTTACAGATTGAACGCACTTCAAGAAGGGGGAAATTAGTTGCATGGAAAATGAAGAGGAGAGGTAAATGGCAAGAACATTGGGTCAACAAATATTGACTCAGCATTTTGTTTTTGTGCCAAAAAGGTTGAGTTGTTATCATTCAATCGCGAAAACCTAGCAAGGCGGATTTTTGCATGACAGAGATGGGGAAGGTGAGACTCACTAAAATTTATATGGAGGGAAGTATGATCAACTAGTTCAACTTGTGGAGGGAAGAAGAAGAACCCACATGGAAAAACATGAAGCAAACCCTAATCCTAAGGTTTGGAGCCGATCAATTAGACAAACCTTCTAAAGAGTTGAAGTTGATAAAACAAGAGGATTAAGTGGAATCTTTCATTGATCGATTTAAGGTCTTGGCTTCACAAGTTCCTAGGCTTCTAGAGAGTCCATATCTTAGTTATTTTGTTGGGGGATTGAGAAAGATATAATGTTAAGGGTAAGGACTCTTGTACCAACAAGAATCATGATATCTATATGATATTTGTTCCTCCCCTATACATATATGGGATTTTATTCATATCTCTCTCTACTATTTTCTTTAACAATCGTAAATACCTATTGATTCTGATCTTCCCATTACCCTTTGTAAAGGTATACGCTCTACCCGTAAATCCTCTCTTTATTATATTGCTTTGAGTTATCATAAGTTATCGTCATCACTTTATATTTGTCTATTTTTTTATTTCTTCTTTCTCAATTCCAAAATTTGTAGGTGAATCCTTAACCCATCCTAATTGAAGTTAGAACATGCTTGATGACATAAGTGCACTTCAGAATAGTGGTACTTGGGAATTCATTCCTTTATCCTTTTGGAAAATATTTTGTTGCCTGCAAGTGGATTTTTACTATCAAAGTTGGTCCTAATGGTACTATTGATTGTCTCAAAACTCGCTTAGTGATTAAAGGTTATACACAAATTTTTGGGTTGAACTATGGTAACATTTTTTCTCTAATTGCAAAGATGACCTCTGTTTGCTTATTCATAGCCATGATTGTTCTTCAATGCTGGTCTCTTTATCAATTGAATATCAGTAATGTTTTCTTAATGGTGATTTGCAGGAAGATATTTATATGGAGCAACCTCTAGGTTTTGTTGCTCAAGGAGAGTCTTCTAAATTGGTATGTCATCTTCGCAAATCTTTATATGGTCCCAAGCAGTCTCCTAGGGCTTGATTTAGCTAATTTAGCACTATTGTTCTACAATTTGATATGACTCGTAGCAAGACAGATCATTTAGTATTCTATCGTCACTCAAGTGTTGGATATATTTGTCTAGTAGTATATGTTGATGATATTTGTCATTTAGTGATCACCATGACATCTCATAAGTGAAGCAACACCTTTGTCACCACTTTCAGACCAAAGACCTTAGCAAACTCAAACATTTGTTGGGGATTGAGGTAGCATAATCTAACAATGAAATTATTACTTCTCAAAGAAAGTATGCATTAGAAATTTAGAAAGAAGTTGGGTTAATGAGTTCAAAGTCTACTGGCACACCCATGAATTCCAATGCCAAATTCCTACCTAATCAGGGGGAGTCACTCTAAGGTCCCATAAGTATAGAATATTGGTTGGGAAGATGAACTATATCTTTTGTCGTGAGTTAGTTTCTTAATTCTCTATGTACAAATAATTGGATTGCTATCATCTATATATTGAAGAATATTAAAATCTCTCAGGGGGTGGTATTATTATACCCGATAAGGAGGTCCAGGTGTTAAATGAGAAACTTGAGTAAAAACCTTGGGATGTGTACTATAGAAAGAGAGGAAAAGGAGCAAAGACAAATGGAATGTGAGTTAGTTAGCACTGGTTAGTTCATACGGGTATAGGAGGGATACATAAATAATATTGTAACATACCAAAAGGGGGGAATTATTCATTCTTGTTGGTGGGAGGCTTAGTATTCTTTGGAGAGCAATATATCTCTTGGGATAGTTTAGTATTGTGGTTTCTTTGTTCAAAATATCAATTCATTCTGGTTTTCCTTTGGCTTATCTTGTTTCTTGATTTGGATACAAATGTTCTGTTGTCCTCTAGACACTGCTCAGTTGATAAAGCTATATGAACCTGTGACAAGTGCAATGAGTGTGTGGGTTCAGACCATGCAATGCCCCACCCAGCTTCCTTCCCTGGGGGGCCACTTGCGGGCTTCCCCAAGTTCCACATCAGTGGTAAGCTCTCACTCATGTATAATTTAGAAAAAAATATATATAAAAAGCAAGAGTTTCAATGATGCCCATTGATCATATGAAAAGCAAAAGGTGGCAGACTGTGTTACATGAATTATAAGTTCAAATATTAAGTAATATTCAAATATGTAAAATATATTAAATAACTCCTAATAATTCCTAATTCACAATTTAAAATCAGGAAACTACTGTATTGCCTGCTTAATGTGTAGTAGGGTGAGTGTTTGTAAACTTCACATTCACATATCTCGATTTTGTAAAATTAATTTTGATTACAATTGGGTTTGAAACAAAGTAAATTTTGTTTGGATTAAAACATGTTTATAAGAAAATCACCATATTTGGTTTTAAACAACGAAACACGATCTTTTAAGACAAATTCACTGGCATTATTTAATAGTGAATTTTGTAGCAGACATATGTTGAATAAACAATCGAGAGATTTTTTCAAGATTGAACACACTTTTCTCTTTTTACCTGTCCCTACAATTAACTCTCTTAATGGTTTGAAAAACATTACATCAACCATCGTTAATATTACAATAATCTCCTTAATTGTTTGAATAACACTACTCTCGACACCCCTTATACGTTTCGCTAATGCACTTAATAAACATTACATTGTGTACATTATATGGGAAGTAGTCGCCGGAAACATAAGCAAGGGATTATGTGCAATCAATCTGAAACAAATCAAGGGTGTTACTGTATCTATTGTATCCTACAACAAATAGAAATAAGGAAGTGTGGACATGCATGAAGAATAAATGATGGTCTCGATCCCTAAAAACACCCTCCATCTCAATTCCTAATCCACAATCTAAAATCAATGTCGTTCCATATTAGCAGATTCTTTTCCACTAAATGGCGATTCATGATTTTAATTCACATACAGTAGGCAGAGTAAAAACGTTGTTACTGTGGTTGCACTGTACCAAATGCAGCAGTAGATTGAACCTTGGGGAATTAAAATGGAGAACAGAAGAAAGAGAACTTACAGATATTACGGAGCAATTGCTTCACGTATTGCATATTCATTTGGAAGAGGAAGCACGACCAAAGAGAAAAACGAAGAGAATAAGCTCTCAGACGCAAAACAAAGAACCACAAATGCTCGGTGTCAGCGTTGTAGAAGCAAGGCACCGCTTCAGGAAGACTCTACAAATCTCACACCCGGTTCTGCAACGAAGCAATAAATTTAACTTCTTATTAGGCCGTACAATTTATTTATGACCAGCAACATACAGAGGACTTATGTCCCTTTTTTTTTATTATTATTACACCATTTTTATTTTCATACATTAAAATTTAAGTATATATTTGGGAGAAATGAAACCGAGAAAAAAATATATTTTTAATTAATTTTACTTATATTTAAGAAAAACTAAATAAAATATATAAATTTAAAGAGGAGAAGAAAGAACATATAACCTAAATTATATAGATGAAAACAAATTACAAAATAAATCTCATGAATATAATAGTATTTGAAATTTTCAAAATTAGCAATTATATTAATTAAACAAATAATATTACATATGTTTTTATATTTTTTAATATGATATATTAATTAATTTTGGATCAATAATATTTGACTGTAATTTAATTTTAAGCGATAGAAAAAATTTGTTCTTTCACGTTCAAAATATTTTATTTTTTATACTTTATAATTAATTAAGGTTATTAAAATAAGCTTTTCAATTTAAGTTTATATGGCCTAATAGGTCAAGTAAAAAAATTTAATAAATTCAATTTAATTTATATTTTTAAATGTGACAAGAAGTGATTGAAAATCAAATAAATAAATTATAATATATTTACTTAATTACTTAATTCAATAAAATAATTTTAAATAGAAGTAAAATATATATTTTTAAAATTTAATTTATATCAATAAAATTAATTTTATTTCATATATAATTCTTTAATATGTAAATTATAAGATAAATATGATTTATTCATTTCTAAAATAAGAATTGATTTTATTATTATTATTAATCTAAAATAATAATTAATTTTAATTCATTAGATGTTAAGAATAAGGATTAAAAACTTATTCTCTAAGTAAATATTTCTCAAATTCATATTTTATGTTATATATATATATATATATATATATATATATATATATATATATATATATATATATATATATATATATATATATATATATATATATATGAGTGTTATACTCATTACTACATCATATATATTTTACATTGGTTAAAAAAAAATATTTATGTCAATCTATATAATTTCAGACTACGTAAAAAGATTTTTCTTTTTATATCAGTTATAGTATAATTAATGTGATATTATTTTCCCTGTAAGATTGTATCCTCTTCCCTACGATGTATCCAAACTCAAAATCAAATTTTGTAATGCATTATTCTTGTTGTACAACAAACCAAAGTCCTTCCTCACCGAGCCTCCATTTGTTAAGCAACACCAAAGCATAGATCTTATGCCTTTAACAAGTAACAACACACCAAATCTGAAAAAAAAAAAAAAATCAAAGAAACCAAAAATAAATCTCACATTTCAATGTTAGATGGAAGCAAGGTCCTCCTAGAACCAATTCGATGGAAGTCACCATGAGTACCCCAAAAGGTTAAAAATATTCCCCAAGTTCTTCAAGATAACTGATACAAGCCCCTTAAAAAGGTTCCCTGTAGGAAGGGTAGGAGAAAATTACTCCTAATTTTAAAGACTTAAGAGAACTAGTAAGGGGACAAGCTTTAAAAGCAAGTACATACTCAATACTCATTCAATTCAAAAGCGTCAAATATACAAACATGAAGGTTCTATTTATGGATGTTCCTCCTCTCCTTACTCACTATCCTAGGTGATGTGATCATAGATGGAGCACAAAAAGAAGAAAATAAAAAGGTAATACGAAGTATGAATAAGACTATCTTCTTGTTTTTTTACTTATTCTCCTAAAAAAAGTAGTATAAGATTTTGAGCTTGTATTCTTGACACATTTACATGTTTTAGCTTATTTTAGTTAACCTTAGATTATTTTTGTTGTTTTAGTGTTTTTTGGGCTTATAAACACTTAGGAGAACAAGTAGTGGGGAGATGTGGAACTTCTCCCTTGGTTGCTCCAAAGTTCTACATTTCCTAGCTCATGCCCATTACTTGTGCTCCTAAGCCTATAAATAAAGTCCCTACTCCTCTTGTATGCTCACACTTGAAATTGAATAAGAGTTAGTTTTTGCATTTTGCAAACTCTTAAGATAAAGATTATCTATTAGTTGAAATTTTGTGATCTTATCTTGTCATGAAGCAAGTGGCGATCACCATCCTTCACTTATCTGGGAGCTTCTTCCAAGTGGTGTGAACACCTTTCATAAGTTTCCTTTTTCTCTTCTCTTCCATTTTATCAATTTCTTCTTTTAATTGCATAATTGCTTAGCTTCCTCTTTATGTTTCCACTTCTCTCTTTTTAATTTCTCTACTTAAATTGCATGTTTTCATATCATTTGGTATCTAGAGCTTAGGTTATCTTTTCTTTTCTTGGTTGCATGCTTAAGTAGAAATTTTTTTCTTCACTATATCTGTAGGTAATTTGCTTCTAAATTTGTGTCCGGTTTTCTTTTCCTTTTTGTTCAATGCTTGTTGATCATTTCCTTGCTAATTGCTTCCTTAATTTGATGTTGCCTTATATTTGTGAGCTGCTGGACCGAAAATGATTTGGTCTTCCTTTTGGTGTGCTCCAAGTGTTTGATGTTTTCCACAACATACTTGGTCCAATTTTCCAGCAAGTAATTCTGTGACTACACCACTTTCTGCAGCAAATTTCTATGACAACAGGAGTGTGTTAGACAAATGGCATCTAGAGGGGGGTGAATAGATGCACAAATTAAAAATTTATTTATGAGTCAATAATTTGTTAAAGCGGAAGCAATAATATAATCAGAAAAGGAGAAAGAGATAAGGGAAAGAGAAGAGCACACAGAGATTTATATGGGTTCGGGTATAGCCAACCCTACATCCAGTTCCCAGTCAACTCTTAACACAAGAGTGACTCCCCATTCACTATCTTTCAAATTCAGCTTACAAATTACAATCAGCTCAACAGAAGAACCAGTACAAAGTAAACTAATTAAAAAGACAATCACCTCCTTAGAAACCCACTAAGGATGAACACCTCCCTAGAATCTCACTAGGGATGAACACCTCCTCTGAACAAATCAAAGGATGAAAACACCTCCTTAGAATCCCACTAAGGATGAACACCTCCCTAGAATCACACTAGGGATGAAAAACACCTCCTTTTCAACCAATGCAAAAAGGATGAAGGTAATAAAAATAAGAACAGACACACCTGGGTAATGGAGACAACAAATTGTATAAGCTTGTAGAATGTCAATCTCCAAGAACAAGTGTGATTAACAATGAAAGCACAGAAGGCAGTAGAGAAGAGGGTTTTCTCAAAATGTGTAAAATATCTCTGTTGCCTTGTTCATAATTTTTTTCTCAAAACTGATTGAATGTAAATTGTATTTTCAAATTCTGTAATTGTGTATTTTTTATTTTTCATCAAAACTTAATTAAATAGAAAAATAGCATCAGAAAATGGCCGTTGGACATTAATAATATCATAGAGAAAATCAGGACGTATTCAAAAACATTTATTCTTTAAAACGGATATATTTTTCAAATTTGAATTGCCATAATTGATTATATTACCAGTATAATTAATTATGATAGAGAAAATCATTTTTCCATTTCTGGTGCATCATAATTAATTATGACAGTGAAAAATATCATGTTATGAATTTTATCACACTTGTGCTTTGGAGGCTTATGCATAATATTACTTCATCAACTTGTACCTCCATATCCAGTATTCTAAGACTCTATCTAGTCTTCAGGAATCATCTTGGGCTTGCTTGAATCATCATCTTTATCAAAAACATATATTGGGCATGTAAGGAAATGTTTCACATTGTCACCTAAGTCATAAATTCAGATTGTCCTTAAATTCATCTTGAATGGTGTTGACTTGAATGTACTTGACTTGAATCATCATCAAAATCATCTCTTGGGAATGCAGGAACATTCCCATCAATCTCCCCCTCATTGCTTTCAATCTCCCCATTTTTGATGATGATCAAGGAAACACCTGAAATGAATTAAAATGCTTGACTCTATATTGTCAGCTCAAGATTAACACAGATTTGTATCAAGTGTCAGAGTCTCTTAATCTCCGCCTGGATATATTAATAACAAGACTCCCCCTAACTCATATGAGCAAATACTTCTCTTAACTCCCCTTGTTTAATTTAGATAGGAAATAATTTCACACAGATTTTAATTCATCAAAAAATCTCCCCCTATTTCATTGATAATCATAAAAAAATATTATAAGAAAAAATCTTCCCTGTTTCACACAGATTAATATCATCAAAATATCTCCCTATTTCATTGATAATTAAAAAAAAATATTATAAGAAAAAAATCTCCCCTTGTTTCAGATAGATTAATATCATCAAAATATTTTCATGTTTCATTAATAATTATGAAAAATATTGCAATAGAAACTGAGAAGAAATTTGTACATATTAGTATATAAATCAAGGTAGATAAGATAATGCATTAAAAAGTGTCATAGAGAAGAATATAATATTAAGGAAACAATATCTAGGATACCCAAGACAAATGAAGAGAGAGAAAGATAGGGGAATAAAATGATTATAGAGATAATGGAATTAAATGCAATAGTTTCCCTCCATTGCAGTCTTCTTATTTAGGCAGCTTTCAAATTCAAATGCACTCATATTCTAGATTTCAAATTTCAAATTCAAATTCCAACCAATTTCAAATTTCTAATTTCTAATCCCAAATTTCAAATTCAAATTTCAAATTCCAATTCAAATTCAATTTCAAAAATCTCAAACTGCAAAAATTTCAAATTTCAAAATCTCAAACTACAAAATTTCAAATTTCAAAAATCTCAAATTGCAAAATTTCAAATTTCAAAAATCTCATATTGCAAAAACAAATCTCAAACTGCAAAATTTCAAATTTCAAAAATCTCAAATTACAAGATTTCAAACTTTATAATTTCAAATTTTCATAAATTCAAATTTTCAAAATTCAAACTTTCAAATTTCAAAGTTGGTCAACATAATTGATTATGACAACAAGAAAAAAATTTCAATTCTGATAATCAATTAGATGCTCAAAT